GATCTAATTTTATCTTTTCCGTACGAATGGAGAAAATTTCCAACATCACCGAGTGAATTTTTCTTCAGTAATTTGTTATGCCAACTCTCTCATAAATCAAACAAGCTTGAGTTTGTGTCTGGGATCTCTCTTCTCTTGTGTTAGTCAATGTGGCTACCCTTGCACCAGTGACACTTTTCTTAATGATAATAACTTTATAATATATAATAAGTCTTGATATCTGAAAGGTAAATCTTCTATCTTGTTCTTCTTGAAAACTATGTTAGCTATTCTTAGTTTTTTACTCTTTCACTTGAATTTTAGGATCAGCTTTCAAGTCTACAAAAAACACTCTGGAATTTTGATTACATTTGCATCTTTATACATAAATTAGAGACCATCTTTGTAATGTTGAGTCTTCCCATCCATGAATATGGTATAGCTTTTCTTTTACTTAGGCGTTTTTTTAATACCTTTTTTGAAGTTTCATGATTTCTTCCATAAAGATCTTACATGTCTCTTTTAGATTTATTTCTAAGTATTTCGTGTTTTTTGTGAATATTATTGCTTTTTAAAAAAACACATTTGCTAATTATTTATTCCCAGTATATAAGGTCCAAAATTATTTTTTATATTGCTAATGTATTTAGAGCCTCATGGTGTCTCTTACTAGTTATAACGGAAATTCACTTGGATTTGCTCTGTGGACAATCCTATCACTGGCAAAAAATTAAAGTTTAGTTTTAATTTTTCTATTTCTTGTTTCTTCTGTGCTAGTGAGGGCCTTTATATAGTATAATTTATGAAAGAGGTGATGATAACAGGTACCCTCGTTTTATTTCTCTTGTTATAGGAAATCCTTCTAATTTTTCACCACTAAGTTTAATGTTTGTTGTAGATTTTTAATAGATCCCCTTTTCAGATTAAGGAATTTCCATTCTATTTTATCATGTAACAACATTAAATTTTGTTGAACGAATTTTTCTGAATCTATGAAATTATCATACCATTTTTTTAATCTGATAGTATAGTGACATAGAATAGCTTATCTAATGTTAAACCATTCTAACTCATCTTGTTCATTGTACTACTTTTTAAAAAAGATTCATTTGCTAATATTTTACTTATGATTTTTGCTTCTATTTTCTTCTATGTTCTTCTACGTTCTGTTTGCTTCTATGAGAGAGGCTCCTAATTTTCCTTTCTTGTATTATCCTTTTTCAGCTTTAGTTCCAAGATTATACTAGCCTTACACAACAAAGTGGGGCATGTTCCCTCTTTTTATATCATCTGGAAAGGTTTATATAATATTGGGAAATTCTGCACATTGGATGTTTAGTTGCTCTACTGTAAAACAATACAGGTCAGGTGGGGCTCCAGGGGATAGGTTTTGAACTACTTATTAGATGTCTTCAATGATTCTAAGTTGATTTGATTTTTAGTTTCATATTGACTTGGTTTTCGTAGGCTATACTTTCAGTGAAATTGTCTATTTAATCTACGATGAAAATAAAAGTATTAAAATGTCCTTAGTTTCTTTTATGACTTTTAAAAATCTTTATTGTATCTGTATTTATGATATTTTTCGTTTTAATATCATCAACTTGTGCCATCTCTTCTTTTCCTTGATCTGTCTTGCCAGAGGCATCTATTTAAACTTTTTAAAGAATCTGTTCTTGGTTTTCTTGATCCTCTTTTTTTTTTTTTCCTTTTTGTCTTTTTTCGTGACCGGCAACGGATCGCAACCCTCAGTGTCGCGCCCATACCGGACCGGGACCGGCAGTGCGCCACTGGGCTGGCCCCGATCCTCTTTTAATTTACATAATTTTAAAATTTTTTCCTCATCTCTTTTTCTTCCTTTTACTTTCATTAGGTTTATTTTTTCTCTTCCTAACTTCTTTAGTAACTCATTAGTTTTTATTTTGCTTAACTCATTTTTAGTCTTTTTCAATATAAATATTTAAGGCTATCAATTGCCCTCTAACAATTGCTTTAGGTGCTCCCCACGTTTTTAAATTATTTTTTATTGAGATATAATTCAAATACCATAAAACTCACCCTTTGAAAGTGTACAAATCATTGGTTTTTAGTATATCCCCAAGGCTGTGTGACTACCAGATATCAAATTTCAGAAAATTTTCATCACCCCAAAAAGAAACTCCATACCCATTATCAGTCTGTCTCCATTCCTCTCTCTCCCTGCAGCTCTTGGCAACCAATAATCTACTCTTTTCATTTTGGGCTTTTTTGTTTGGCAGCTGACTGGCATGGGGATCTGAACCTTTGATCTTGGTGTTACAGGCTGTGCTCTACTTTCTGTCTCTATGGACATATAAATGGAAGCATTCAGTATGTGACCTTTTGTGTTTTGGCTTCTTTCACTTAGCATAATATTTTCAAGCTTTATCCATGTGGTAGTACCTACCTCATTTCTTTTTGTGACTAAATAATATTCTATTGTATGGATATACTACATTGTGCTTATCCATTTATTCACTCTATGGACATTTGGGCTGTTTCCATCTTCTGACTACTATAAATAATGCTATGAACATTCATAGACAAGTTTTTGTGTGAACACGTTTTCAGTTCTCCTGGATATATACCTAAGAGTGGAATTGCTGAAACATATGGTAACTGTTTAAACTTGTTGAAAAACTCCTTTCCAAGCCACAATTATATACATTCCCACCAGCAGTGTATGAGGATTACAAATTCTCCACATCCTAACACTTGTTATTGTCCATCTATTTTTATTATAACCACACCAGTGTGTGTAAAGTGATATGTCATTGTGGTTTTGATTTGCATTTCCCTAATAAGTAATAATGTTGAGCATATTTTCATGTGCTTATTGGACATCTGTATATTTTCCTTGGATAACTGTCTATTCAAATCTTTTGCCCATTTTTTTTAGTTATTATTGCATTGTAAGAGTTTTCCACATATTCTGAATACTAGACCCTTATCAAATATATGACTTACAACTATTTTCTCCCCTTCTCCGAGTTGTGTTTTCATTTTCTTAATGGGACCCTTCAAAACACAAAAGTTCAATTTTAATGAGGTTCGACTTTTAGTGAAGACCTGTTTCTTCTTTTGCTGCTTGTGCTTTAGGTGTCATTATCTACAAAACCATTGCCTAATCCAAAGTCACCTCTCCACATGATTTTATTTGTTTTGTCAGCTGGCCGATGAGGTTACCTGAACCCTTGACCCTGGTGTTATAACATCTCACTCTAAGCAACTGAGCTAATCAGCCAGCCCCACACATTTTTTAATATGTATTTTATTACTTTCTTTCTTCCACCATTTCATATTTGATCCATGAGATAATTAGCCCCCAAAACCCCCATGATCCTTCTATTATTGATTTCTCAGTTTCAACGTTCCTCCTTTTCCAGGCCTAAGACCTCAATTCTGGATCCTCCCTTGGGCATGAAAACCTAAGCCTCCATATTACCAACACCAGCACTTTACTCCCTGCCCCTCCATACAGTGCAGCTTCAGCTTGAGTTTACCCAATACTTTGCATTCTGTTTCAGGTCCCTGGGTACCTCCCTTAATTTCTTACAAGCTCAAATATGTTTTTAAGTGTTCTAGGTGTTCATAAAGGGAGGGTTTCCCTATTTAGGCCACAATATTCTTTGAAGGCTTCTCCTCACTTCTGACAGCTTCTTACTCATTGTGACACCTCTACCTATTGCTGTTTTGATGGCTCTGCTCTGGAACCTTTGATCTGGGCTGTACTTGATGTTCATTTAAGTCATATTCCACCTCTATGGAAATAATGAAGAAGTGTAGATAGAAGACAGGGCTGTGGTGGGGAGGGAAACACACTAGGGTACTTTTGCTGGGGTCTTGCCAAACCCTCACCTTTCACCTTCCCACTAGAATGAAAGCCAGAGCCATATATTGTTAATGTGAGCACAAGTGCAAGGAGATTCTCTAGCCACTTCATTCTCAGTTGGCCTTTCTGAATGGCCTCTCCCTAGACAGGGTCTTGGGACCAACAATATACTAGATTTCAAATGGAAAAAGCAAATAGGACAAGTAGGATACAAATCAGAGCTGGGAGGATATATCACTCAGGCTCTGAGTCTCACTATTTTCTTTTTGTTTTTTTCTTGTTTTATCAATTTATTTTACGTAATGTAAGTATGAACCAGGAAGTAAAGAACATGAGAATATCGGTGTTGGGGACTGGAATACTACCTAATATACAAAGCGGGTCAGACCAAGTTATCTTGTCACTTATTCAACAGTGGGTAACTGTTGCTGTCTCTTCTACTGCTCCACCATTATAATCCTTTAATTATTGTTTCTACTGCTTGGCTGCTATTGATTTTTACAGTCTTTCTAATCACGACCTCTGTCTACTGCTTTGTCTTCATAGATTTTTCGGCTTCTGCCTGAACATCACTCCCATGCCACCCATTCCCAAAGACCAAGTGCTGTGTCACTGTGTCTCACATTCACACTCCCCGAGAGGTAAAATACACTTGATGTAGGTAATCTTTATTATCTCAATCAGACATAGCTACTACATCCAGCTATTCCCTATGCTCTAAGCCAGACATTTAGCAACATTGGGCCAGGTTCTATTCCATGATTCAATGGGCTATAGTCAGGGTGATGGGATTACACAGTTTTTTCCAAAAATGAGCTGTGCATATGGCAGATGCTCAAAGCAAAAAGAGTTCAATTACAGAAGAGGAGATCAGAATGGCTTCCTCCACAATAATGCACAGGGATTGAAGCAGTTGGACAGGCCTGGGTTCAAATACTGCCTCAGCCACTTACTACCTGTGTGACTTGGGGCAAGTCATAACTCTTCTAGTCCCCAGCTTCCTTATCAGCAAAAAGGAGATTGTATACTTACTGCATATAGCCATCGGGAAAAGGAAATGAAGCAATGTGTTTAAAGCATTTAGCACGGTGCCTGGCACACAGCAGGCATTCAACAAGTCTGTATTAATGGGCTCTCTCTCTTCACTCTTCCCATGTCTCCCCCCACTCAGCATCGTGATGACCACCTGCTCCACCTTCTTTGCCCTGGGCATGATGCCTCTCCTCTTATACGTCTACTCCAGGGGGATCTATGAGGGGGACCTGAAGGACAAGGTGCCCTATGGAGGCATCGTGATATCCCTGATCCTGGTTCTCATTCCTTGCACCATAGGGATCATCCTCAAATCCAAACGGCCACAATATGTACCCTACGTCATCAAGGTAAGAACTTGGGTGTCCTGTCTTAGACAGCAACATGGGAAGGGAGCAAGAACACCACTGTCATCTCAGTGTATGGCCGAGGCAAGTCATTTGCCTTTATCTGCATCTGTTTCCTTCCTTGATTTAAAAAAAAAAGTCTACTATTGGTAAACCTACTACTTCATGGGATTGCAATGTACACGGGAATACTTCCAAAAAGTTGGGAGAAGAAGGTAAAAACACCATACCTAAATATAAGGTATAATTATTATTTTAATAATAAAATTAAATTTGTGGGGCCAGCCCGTGGCTCACTTGGGAGAGTGTGGTGCTGATAAAACCAAGGCCACGGGTTTGAATCCCTATATAGGGATGGCCGGTTAGCTCACTTGAGAGATCATGGTGCTGACAACAAGGGTTAAGATCCCATTACCGCTCATCTTTAAAAAAAACAACAAAAAAACTTGTATTGTGCTCCTACTAGATGCTAAATTTTATGCTATGTACTCTGAGGATTCACTGTGCTCAGAGTTTGATATTTGCAGCAAGAGAAATAACAAATCAGAAACAAGATCCAACGACTGTGTACAAGCCCCTCTTCCCACCTGTTGGAAGGCATGGAAAAGTCATTCCTTCTTCTGCCCATGGCTGATACCTCACCTCAGCTTTGGATTCCATCTCCTCTCCATGCTCGCTTCTCAGAAACCTCCTTTTACTAATTATGCTGCCTCCCCGAAAGACTCCCCCCTCTCATTCTCATTTCTAAAACATCTCTGTATTGGTTTCTCATGACCTGCACTAGTACAGGTTCACATCTCTCCCAACTTAAAAAAATAAAAAAATCCCCCACTGGGATTTTGAGTGGGACCCACCTCCCATCCCAACTTGTAACACCTCTCTTTGCTCTCCTTCCTAGCCAGGCTTCAGGAAAATTCCCCTCACACACACACACCCGCTCCCACCAATCCACTTCCTTTGAGCACCTTGCACTTCCACCATGCTGCCTACAGAACTCTCACTTGGTGACCAGACCCTCAACAATTGGTCCCAGTTATTTGAATCTCTCTCCTCTCATCTCCCACCCACCCAGCATCTTGATGACCACCTCTGCACTTTCTCTGCCAAATCCAATGGACATTTCTCAATCCTTTCTTGACCTTTTAGAAGCATCTGAAATGATTAGCTACTGCCTCCTTCTCAAAAGCCTTCTCCTTCAGCTTCAGTGACTCTGAGCTTTCCTACCACCTCTCTGCCGCTCTTTCCAGACTCCCTTGTGAGTTCCTCTGGGAAAAGTTACTTCTCTGCACTCAGTCCAAGCTTACAGCTTTTATTGCTCTAGCCCAGGATCTCCCCACCACAGATATGGTCCATCTCAAGTCTGCAACTACCATCTACATGCTGATGACTTCCAGAACAGTATAGTATCTTCCGCCTCAACTCTCTCCTGCATCCAGAATCCATTTATTAAATGCCAGGTCTTTCTACCTGAATATACCTCAGACATTTAAACTCAGTGTCTCTTCAACTAAAATCTTTTTTTTTTTTTTTTCCCTTTTCTGGGTCCGGCAACGGATCACAACCCTCAGTGTTGCCCCCGTACTGGACCAGGACCGGCAACGGGATTGCAACCCTCGGTGTTGCTCCCGTGCCTCGCTCAGCCAGTGAGCGGGAACCGGTCTGTATGTGGGATCCGAACCCTCGGCGGGAGCGCCACCACACTCCCAAGCGGCACACTATAGCAGTGCGCCACCGGGCCGGCCATTCAACTAAAATCTTTTTCCCAAGCCTGCTCCTGCCCTTCTCCCCCTGTGAGAGTATCTGTGAGTGGCATTCCATATGCCCAAATGCCTGAGCCAAAAACTGAAAAGTCCTTCTCCACGCCCCCTCTCCATCCCCACTCAGTCACCTAATCAATGACCCGTGATTCCTCCTCCTGTTGCTTGAATCCATCTATTACTCTCCATCCTTACCTTCACTACTTTCATTCAGGCCACCATCCTTTCACTAAACTGAAACAGCTGACTCCATGAGCCAGTTTTAACCTGAGGGTGGGGCTGTAAAGACAAACTCTTATCATGTCACTCCACTGCTTAAAGCCCCTCATTAGTTCCTTACTCCCCTCCAGGATAAAGTTTAAACTCCTTAATGTGGCTCCTCAGGCCTTTCTTGATTTGGTCTCAGCTGACCTCTCCAGTCTCAGCTCTTCTCTTTGCACATGTGCTTCCCTTCACCTGGAACACTCTCTTCCCCAACTCCCAACCCACTTGCCATCTTTCACTGGGCTCACTCCTACTCACCCTTCAAGTCTCAACACAAATAGCACCTCCTCCAGGAAACCTACCTTATTCCCCCAAGCCTGGGTACGATGCTTGTCCTATTTGCTCCCATAGCACCCAACACCTGCCAACATTTGTAGCAGTTATCACCCTGTATTATAAATACTTGTCCATTTTCATTCCCCACTCACCCATAAGTTTCTCAAGAAGCGAAGACCATAAGGCTATGTCTCAATTAACACTGAATCCACAGCACCTGTCACAGTGCCCCCATGACTAATGCCTGAGAAGAAAAAAATGAAGAGCAAGTCCTGTCCGCTATTGTCTCTTGCACACAACAGCAGAAAAAAAGAAACAGTTGTGCCCATCATCTCATTTATCCAAGACAGTGTATAGGAATTAAAAAATCATAGAATATAAAAATGTGAAGTGAACCCCAATATCATTTAATGCAACTCTTACCTCCTCCATTTTCAGGTGGGAAAACGAGGGGCCAGAATCCCAAGTTCACACTACTAACAACAACAGATAAGAGAACATATGTCTCCTTTTTACCTCAAAGTAACTTTAAAAGAATTCTCCTGAGGATGCAAAAAGCAGAATCTCAGATTTTAAAGCTGGAAAAGACTGGCTGGTTGTGCAGTGCTGATTACACCAAGGTCAAGGGTTCAGATCCCCTTAGCAGCCAGATATCCCAAAAAAAAAAAAAAAAAGCTGGAAAGGCCTTCAAGATAAAGTTTAGTCTCCTGCCTTATTCCTGTTTTGTAGATAGAGTAACTGAGGCCCAGCGAAGTTACTTGGCAGAACCAGAATTATCAACCAGTCTCCTGTTCCTGTCACGTTGTGTTGCACATCCACTACTCAATGCCACAGTGAAAACAGTTTGAATGACCCAGGAACATTAAAAAGGTTAAGACATCCCTGGGCTAGAAAGACAGGGACCAGTAACAAGGGACTACATAAAAGGTGATCTACAAAACCCAGGCATACCTTGGACCCATTTTACCTATGGCTACATCTCCAGGGTTAACAACTGTAAGGTCGGCAGCTCCATTTGATTATCATGTACTGCCAAACTGGAATCACTCCTGTGACGATGCAGAGGTTGGACCTGCACAGTTTCCGATGATGTCACCCAATACATTTCTGAAGTTTCTTTTCAGAACTTTCTTCATATCCAACTTGCAGGTCACTTAAGAAAGTAAGCTTAGGGCCGGCCCGGTGGCGCACTGGATGGTGCGCCGCTTGGGAAGCGCGGCGGCGCCCCCGCCCGCGGGGTCGGCTCCCACATC